CCAATCCATCGTACGACCAGACAAGCGATCGAGCAACCCGTTGCTCGACCAGATACATGATCGGTCAACCTATTCGACCTCAACAGGTCGATCGCTTCGAGAAACCAATAGTCGGCCTAGTCATGGGCGCGTGTATCACGGGCGCGCGTAAGAGCCTCTAACTGAACCTCAGGAGAATATTTACCCCATGTGTAGGGGGGACACGTGTCGACAATGTATTGGGTGATAGCGATAACCACCTCTGACAGCTCCCAACGCCCCGCGCCACCTCTGACATGTGCGCGGCGTGTCAGAGTATGGACGGGCAGCTCGGGCAGCCAGCTCACCTTATCCGGGCAGCTATTAGGGCAGGTATCTCACCCCTATATAAAGGGGGTGAGCCTTTCTCCCTTAACACATTCTATTCGTTACTCAACTCCACTATACTCATACACATACTAAAGTAATCATCGGAGGCTCTTCACCGGACACAACCGCTGGTGTGAGAGTTATTTGCAGGTTTCCGGCATTCTACCAGCGAGGACAAGAACCGATCTACTCCAAACCGGACTAGGACACTTACGCTTGCATTATTGGCTCCGTCTGTGGGAATTTTTGTTCAAAAAGTTGTTTTGTTCAAAAAGTTTTTGAAGCTCAGCTATGGCGGACGAAATTCCCAAAAACTTGCAGTCAACGTTCGACGAAGCTTAGACGACGACCAGGCCGTTGGGGCACGGCCCTTCTCCGGGATTTTCCGGCCCATCGCAGACTCCGATCACTCCCACACCTATCCTTCAAGGTGTGGGAGTGACGACAGCGGTTCTCGGAGGAGATGCCGGCTCTAGTCAGGCCCAGGAAGCTCGCGCAGCAGCCGCGGCGGCGATGCCACCGCCGCCACCACCAAATCCAGCAACGGTGCAAGGAGGAGTGATGGCGCAAGGAGGAACGCCACTGCAGACAGTTGTACAAGCTCCAGGTCAACAAGTGGTGACGATGACCCGGGAAGAGATGCAGAGGATAGCGGCGGCCGCGGCGGCACAGGCGGTGCAGCAAGTTATGAGCCACACATCTCATGCCACCACTGCACCAACCACGGTGGCCGGAAACCAAGATGAGGATGTATCCAGCTATGGAAAGGGAGGAGCTGGAAGGGATCGGACGATGGAGAGGATGGCAGAGCAGTTACGCCAGTTACAGGACAAGGTGGAGGGGAGGTCGGAGAGGAGAGCTCGAGGACATCCCTTTTCAAGGGAGATTCTCGCCGCTTCCTTGCCGAATAATTTCAAGGAGACTAACTTGGTGTATGATGGGTCTTCTGACCTGTCGAGGCATGTGAAGACCTTTGAGAATATGGCTGTGTTGCATGGATATTCTGATTCTGTTTGTTGCAGGGCATTTCTATCGACCTTGCGCGGAGGGGCACTGGACTGGTTTCATCAGTTACCCTCGGGGTCGATTGCGGATTTTGAGGATTTTGCCAGCAAGCTTACCAATCAATATTCGAGCGCGATGGCGCATGAGAAAACGTACTTGACGTTGATGGCAA